GCCATTAAGAACGCCCTGGATGTCTACGAAGCGGCTGGCCACCTCTGCCAACTTCAGTACACCCCTGTAAGAGGAGAGGAGAGGTGAGCACTAAACCCTCCATCCACTGCCCCCACTGGGGGGGAAGGGAGGAGATTATGCACATTGCCCTGGCACCAGGCCAATCATCACACTGGGGTCAGCCTAAGGATGTTAAATAACACCCCTGTAAGAGGAGAGGAGAGGTGAGCACTAAACCCTCCATCCACTGCCCCCACTGGGGGGGAAGGGAGGAGATTATGCACATTGCCCTGGCACCAGGCCAATCATCACACTGGGGTCAGCCTAAGGATGTTAAATATTGACTGACTAACTAATCGAATAGTTGCTGCATTAGTCGATAGGGCACTTCCAGGGCCTCTGAAGTGTAGCAACAGCCCAACAGTGAAAGTGCTGCGTGGAGGCTCCCCGTGGCGTTTCAAGGCAACAGCGCTGTGTGGAGCCCGGGGTCTGGCCTCAGGATCCATGCCACTTTGAAACACCCTCCCCCGCCTTGCTGCCTCTTTCTGATAGAGCAGCAAAAGAAGAAGTGACTACTGGACAAGTCCCTCACATCCCTAGGTTCCATACATACAAGATGGGAAGCGACTGTCTAGGAAGGAGCATGGCGGAAAGAGATCTAGGGGTCATAGTGGACCACAAGTTGAATATGAGTCAACAGTGTGATGCTGTTGCAAAAAAAGCAAATATGATTCTAGGTTGTATCAACAGGTGTGTTGTAAGCAAAACTCGTGAAGTCATCCTGCCGCTCTACTCTGCACTAGTTAGGCCTCAGCTGGAGTACTGTGTCCAGTTCTGGGCACCACATTTCAAGAAAGATGTGGAGAAATTGGAAAGGGTACAGAGAAGAGCAACAAGAATGATTAAAGGTTTAGAGAACATGACCTATGAAGCCAGGCTTCATGAACTGGGCTTGTTAAGTTTGGAAAAAAGAAGATTAAGGGGGGACATGATAGCGGCTTTCAAATATCTAAAAGGGTGTCACAAGGAAGAAGGAGAAAATTTGTTCCTCTTGGTTTCTGAGGACAGGACAAGGAGTAATGGGCTTAAAGTGCAGCAGGGGAGGTTTAGATTGGACATTAGGAAAAAATTCCTAACTGTCAGGGTGGTCAAATATTGGAATAAATTGCCAAGGGAGGTGGTGGAATCTCCCTCTCTGGAGATATTTAAGAACAGGTTAGATAGACATCTGTCAGGGATGGTGTAGACAGAGCTTGATCCTGCCTTGAGGGCGGGGGGCTGGACTCGATGACCTCTTGAGGTCCCTTCCAGTACTATTAGTCTGTGATTCTCTGTTTAATTGAACTAAAGTGGCATTAATGACATAAGACACAGAAGTGATCTAAACTATGAAGTTGGTTGATTCCATGGATTTTCTAAAGACTCTGTAGCATTATCCTTGGAGATAAATAATTTACTCCTACTTTACACTGAATACTAGATACAGTGTTGTCAGATGTGTATGTCACAGCACCCTTGATAAACTCAGGAAAAGGACTTGAAAAATCATGACTTTTGTCTGTAGGCTAGCCCAAAGTCTGATGACTAACCAGACCTGAGAGATTCCCTTTTTATAGATGACAAACATTATTTTCAATTTTCAATTTCATTTAATTTCAAAATTGGAATCTTTTGCTTTACATTTTCCATAGAGGGTTCTCTTTTACAATCAAAGATTACAGCATCTTTCTTGTCGATGAGGTCCCTAGAGTAAGCCTAACTCTCATACTGAGAGCATTATTGCACCATCATTTTTTAAGCAGAACTCCCCTAGTCTGCATTAGGCACACCCTAATGCAGGGACACTGGGCCGGCGCAACAGAGCCACTGGGCTCCGCACTCCTGCCCCGGAGCCCATAGGGGCGCCGCTGGCACTTACAGCCCTGCCAGAAGACCCCACCGGGCCGAGGGACTCCGACAAGGAGGCCGGCAAGCTGACCCTGGCCGGGGAAAGGAAAACGAGCATGCGCTGTCAACACAGGTGGAGCCAGGGCTGCACCGGGGGTGAAGTCACTTGCAGCGCACCGGAGGGGGTGGTGTCACGTTGGTATGGCGTTGCGGTGCTGTTTTTTAGAACAGCCAGCTGTGGATCGGGGAAGGAGATGTGCCGCGTGGGGGAGCAGCGCCTGGCTAGAGGCAGGAGAGGGGGGAG